AGAATGAGGGTGACAACCAGTCGGCTTTCGGGGGTTCCTGTGCAAATGCTGACAAATGCTCCACCTGGCTTTTAGGTAGCAAATGCTCCCCCCAGTCGGTAGTTCATATCTCCCAAATGTCGTTCATCTAGGTGGAATGGGCAGCGGTATGAAATCCGCCCGGGTTTGTGGACTTGCGTAGCCGAAAATACTTCAAGGCGTTCGACAACCATGCACCGCTTCCTGTGTTCAGGAGACAAAAGGGACGCTATGCACTGGACCACATGCATTCGGTTATATGAATGGCAGCCACCCAGGGAAAGAACTCGAGTTAAGGTGTTGATTTGTGATTAACAGTCCGGGAAGGTCGGTGTTCGGGGAGGTATAAAAAGGGATACACCATCCATTCAGGAGACAAACAAGGGGGTATGGACAACCGAACACAAGGGAATCAAGTCTGCTACACTTCAGTCTTGTGTGAGGACCTGTTTGAACCACTGGAAAAGGTGTCGCTCAGACTTCTGTCTATCAAAACATAGTTCCTGGCAATAACCTCGGCAAGGAGAGTTGGGGAGATTCAGGCCCTGTCTTCACTACCAGAAGTCACTGTTTTTCATCAACATAAGGTGGTGCTGCATCCTATACCGTCCTTGTTGAAAGTACTGTCAAGAAAATCTCTTAATGAACCTATTGTACTACCATTGTGCTGCAGTTCCGGTACATCAGATCAGAAACAGAAGTGGCAAATGCTTGATGTGCGCAGAGCTCTTCATATATACCTATCTCGTTCAGCAGAATTTAGAGCCTTGGATCATCTGTTCATAAATTTCTATGGCAAGGAGATGGGTCAAGGGCCATCAAAACCCACTCTGTGTAGATGGCTAACCGGCGCTATCAATTTGGCTTACAAATCTTGCAATATTCCTTTGCCTTCTCTTCTCTTATTAGAGCCCATTCAACAAGTGCCATTTCTACTTCCTGGGCTGAAATATCCAACACCTCTCCTGAAAACATTTGCAAAGCAGAAACGTGGTCCTCATTTCATACATTTATAAAGCACTATCGGCTAGAAGTCTTTTCTTTCTCTGAAGCTGTTTTTGGGTGTAAGTTGCGTCAAGCTGTTGTTCTCTGAGACCCACCCTTTTTTATGTTCCTAGGATCTTGTCATATCTCCACTGGTACTGTCTCAATATGTTAGGAAAAACAGAAATTTTAAATACCGTAATTTTTTTTCCTTAATATAGTGGCAATACAATTCCCTCCCTATTTTGATCAATTTATATTGAGCATGGAATGGTTTCTTGTGTTTTCTTTTCATATACTGGAGATCCTGGTGGCAAGTCTGGTATTTAAGTGGAAAGTAGCAGGGACTTTTAAAATTTGTATTAATTTATTTTCAGTCAGCTTGTCCATGTCAGGAATGTTCGGGGATCCTACACGCAGAATGCAAATACTAGTAATATATACCAGACCTTAGGATGGCCGGACTAACACTACACACACAAAGAATAGTCAAATAGCAAGCCGATGTCAAGAGTACCAGAAATCAGGATCAACGATAATGCAATAGCTGAGGGCAAAGGCACACAGAAGGAAGAATAGTCAAACAAAGCCAAAGTCAGAATACCAATAAGGAATACGCGTTTTTGGGTCAAACAAGAACCACAACAGGACAATGAGTCTCTCCCTGGTTTCTCTTTAAATACCGTGTTCACTTAGGTAGGTAACCACACCCCCAACATGTGACATGCCCCTGACTGATACATAAGGTAACCTGACCGTTAATAAGAAGAATACAACCCCACGGGTACTGCCACTATAATAAGGAAAAAATAATTTATGGTAAGTAAAATGTCTGTCCTTTGTGAGACATCACTGAACACAAATGTGTATTTTATTGCAGTAAAAGCTAACAGTATAAAGACATTCACAGTTAATACAAAATGCAGAACTTCTTTAGATTTTATACATATGTTTGTTTGCGTGTATGTGTGTGTGTGTGTGTATATATATATATACGCATATATAATATGTTAAATTAAAGCCCTAGTTCTCCTGAACGGATGTATTTAACATGAAAGAGGTGTAGTGTGGTTGAACAGACCTATAGCTGATATTCCTGGTTTTGTATTGATCAGAATTTGTACAATTGCTTCTATTAAACTGGGGTTAATGGAGTAGTTTTGGTGCAAAGACTGCAGTCTGACACATGTAAACATTGCCCTTTTTTCAGAAATTGCAATGGTTAGATTTGTACGTGAACACGTCTTTAGTGGCTGTGAGCATTATGGCCACTGTGACAGAGCTCCTGTGCTCTGTCCAGTCTGCTTCCTAGCCACTTGCCGGGAATTTATATTTTTTATAAAGGGGTGGGGAAGACAATATAATTCAGGTAGTGCATATAGCTGTTGCTACCAAAAGAGGGGCCTGCTGCATGCTCCATAGCCAAATCCACCTAGTTGTTAGCAAGCATCAGCAGGACATGAGAGCATACAAAACAATAATACACAAATACATATACACACTGTAGCAGAGCTCCCTGTACCCTGGCTGGGTACCTTTGCCAAGGACCGCTTCCTAGCTGGAACAGGGGACAAACCGTGGCTTGACTGGGGCCCTGGAACCACTCCTTCCTGGAGCCGAATGGGGAATTTGCTCTAGAAAGCCCCAGGCACGGGACGACACTCTTTCCCCGTTGAATCCCCTGCAAGCCGGAACAGCAGACACAGGAGTAAATCTTCTTTCCCTCCAATAACAGGATGCCACAGTTTTGGAATGCAAGCTGGAATAGATTTAATGGTGCCACACTTGGCCTTTTATGCAAGTCCCCAAGCAAAGGGTACGCCCACATGGACCTTGTATTGGGACAGAGACACAAACTTACAAAGCAATAATAACACATTTACAATGTAAGGCACACCCACACACAGCACACAATCCCTCCCCTCTGCTTGAGAGATAATTGGATCAGTAACTGTACTAATTCTAATCCAATTATCTCCAAGCACAGAAAAAAACATACATTTCTAAAAAGTTCCAAAAGTACCCAAAAACACATGATATCCCCACAAATGGATAGCTCTGATCTGGGTGACCAACATATCCAAAAATCACCCAGAGCGGTTCAGGAATTTCCTGGAAGTCATCATTTTGACCCACCGTGCACATGGTCCTATGCCCAAAACAGTTCCATGAAATCAGTGCTAACAGTCGGTCAAGTTTGGTAGTCTTTTACAGGTTTCCCTGCAGGGCCCATAGTCTGTGGGCAGGAGGCTGGCAAGCAGGCTCCTCCAGGAGCTCATGGCAAACTCGCTTGGAGAGGGGAGTTTGTCACACAGACCTTGAACCTATAATGGGCACAGGGTCCCACATAAAGTGTTTGTCTGAAACTCCTGGTGATGGTGATTACCGTCACAGCCACGGTCATCAGTTCCTCATGAAGTTTTTCGAATGCTGATGGTCTTTGGGTTTTGCCCATCATCAAGCATTAGGATGCCAAATACTGATAATTCTTTCTATAAAGAAGCGTCCGATTGGCAGGATGGGGGATTCTGCATACGATTCTTAAGTCCTCAATGCTTCTCAATGAGAATAATTTTATTGGACCAGAGATAATCAGATAATGATCTTACAGTAGGAGGAACGGCTCTTGTGAGAGAGTTAGATGGCACTAGATAAAAGGTGAGTTTATTTAGGTTTTTTTATTTGATTATTTTTTTCCAAAAGGAGGAGCCTGAATCTAAAAGTTGAAAGGAAGATTCCAAGTTTATAAATAAATATATTTATTTGTAACAGTGTGTTGATTTTTAAAAAATGGATTGGTGTATAAAATGCATCCACCTGTCCTGGCAAAAATCATGTCTGTCATAACCTAAACTAGCTTTTAAAGGGACACTAGGCATCATAGATGTTGTCCTCCTTTTCAGACAATGACTATTAATGTCCAATGGAAGAACTAATGTAGAGAGGGCCCTAGTGCAGATAAATCCACATTTGTCGTACAACTAACGATGCTGTGCCAGCTGGGGATCTACTATTTATCCATGCTTGCAAGGTTTGCACATTTGAATGAAAGCACGTGCTTATGTGGAGTATGTGTGTGTGCATGTACGTGTTTATTTGTATTTACCTTTGCCATTGGAATGCATGTAGTACTTCTATGTAATGTTTGCATTTGAATGCAGTAGTGTGTTTGTATGAAGTGTTGGCTTTTAAATGTGGGTGTACATTTGTGTGTTGTATTTGTGTTTATGTATATCATTTTCATGTTTGACCGCAGGGATGTTTTGTATGTAATGCTTGGGTTTGATTGCAAGGGTGTGTTTGCATGTTGTGTTGGTCTTTGCTGGGATATGCTTATATACAGATGATACTCGAAAAATTTGAATATTGTGCAAAAGTTCATTTATTTCAGTAATGCAACGTAAAAGTGGAAACTAATATATGAGATAGACGCATTACATGCAAAGCAAGATAGTTCAAGCCGTGATTTGTCATAAGTGCAATGATTATGGCTTACAGCTCATGAAAACCCCAAATCCACAATCTCAGTAAATTAGAATATTACATGCAATCAATAAAACAAGGAGTGTACATAGAACAATATCGGACCTCTGAAAAATTATAAGCATGCATATGGACTCAGTACTTGGTTTGGGCCCCTTTTGCAGCAATTACTGCCTCAATGCGGCGTGTCATGGAAGCTATCAGCCTGTGGCACTGCTGAGGTGTTATGGAAGACCAGGATGCTTCAATAGCGGCCTTCAGTTCTTGTGCATTGTTCAGTCTCATGTCTCTCATCTTTCACTTGTCAATGCCCCAGAGATTGTCTATGGGGTTCAGGTCAGGCGAGTCTGCTGGCCAATCAAGCACAGTAATCCCACGGTCATTTGGTGCTTTTGGCAGTGTGGGCAGGTGCCAAGTCCTGCTGAAAAATGAAGTCAGCATCCCCATAAAGCTCATCTGTGGAAGGAAGCATGAAGTGCTCCAAAATCTCCTGGTAGACTGCTGCGTTGTCCCTGGACTTAATGAAGCACAGTGGACCAACACCAGCAGATGACATGGCTCCCCAAATCAACACAGACTGTGGAAACTTCACACTGGACTTCAAGCATCTTGCACTGTGTGCCTCTCCATTCTTCCTCCAGACTCTGGGTCCTTGGTTTCCAAATGAGATGCAAAAGTTGCTCTCATCAAAAAAGAGTACTTTGGACCACTGAGCAACAGACCAGGTCTGTTTTTCTTTAGCCCAGGTAAGACGTTTCTGACGTTGTTTGTTGTTCAGGAGCGGCTTGACAAGAGGAATACGACATCTGAAGCCCATGTCCAGGATCCGTCTGTGTGTGGTGGCTCTTGATGCACTGACTCCAGCCTCAGTCCACTCCTTGTGAAAGTCCCCAACACTTTTGAATGGCCTTTTCCTGACAATCCTCTCCAGGCTGCGGCAGTGGCGGATCCAGAGCCTGATCTCGGGAGGGGCACTTGTAGATTATTTAAAGACATAATCCAGATACAATAACCACTACAGCTCAGTGTAGTGGTTATGGTGTCAATAGTGCCGGGACCCCCTCCCAGAGTAAGTAGTCAAACCGTTTAAGAAGAGTTTGACAACTTACCTGAGGTCTGCTGGGAAATGGGGCTGTAGTAGGGCATAGGAGCAGTGGTGTGTGTGAGTGGTGCAGTGTGTGCGCAGTGTGTGTGTGTGAGGGCGGCAGTGTATGTGTGGGACAGTATGTGTGTGTAACAGTTGAAGTGTGTGTGTGAGTATTGCAGTGTGTGTGTATGGGGGGCAGTGTATGGGGGCAGTGTGTGTGTATCGGGTAGTGTATGTGTGTAGAGTGTGTGTATGGGGGGCAGTGTGTGCATGGGGGGCAGTGTGTGTGTATGGGGGTAGTGTATGTGTGTAGAGTGTGTGTATGGGGCAGGCAGTGCATGGGGCAGGGCAGCTTGTCCGTGGCTGGGGACAGTGCGTGTAATTCGGTAGTGCATGTGTGTAGAGTGTGTGTGTGCGGCTGGGGTGTGCGGGCAGGTGCGTGTGTGTATGGGGGCAGTATGGGTGTAGCTGGGGGGGGCAAATGTGTGTGTATGCTGGGGCAGTATGGGTGTATGGGGCAGCAGCATATGGGGGCAATGTGTGTGTGTATGGGGCAGTATGGGTGGGGCAGTGTGCATATGGGGGCAGTATGGGTGTATGGGGCAGGTGTGTATGGGGGGCAGTGTGTGTGTATGGGGGTAATGTGTTGTATGGGGCAATGTGTGTGTATGGGGGGCAGTATGGGGGCAATGTGTGTGTATGGGGGGCAGTGTGTGTGTATGGGGGGCAATGTGTGTGTAGAGTGTAAAAGTGTATGTGGGTGTGTGTGTGTATGTAAAGCAGTGCATGGGTGCATGGGGGGGCAGTGCATATGGGGGTCAGTATGGGCGTGTGTATGGGGCAGTATTGGGTGTGTATGGGGGGCTGTATGGGGCAGGGCAAAATGTGTGCGTGTATGGGGGCAGTGGCGGGTGTATGGTAAAGGTAATGGGTGTATGGGGGGCAGTATGGGTGTATGGGGGGCAATGTGTGTGTATGGGGGCAGTATGGGGGGGCAGTGTGTGTATGGGGTGCAGTATGGGTGTATGGGGGGGCAGTATGGGAGGCAATGTGTGTGTATGGGGGGCAGTGTATGTGTGTAAAGTGTGTGTGTGTGATAAGGGTAGGGGGGCTTTTTTTTTTTTAAATATATAATTTTTATTTGAATTTTTAATATAAATATTCTATGTCCCCCCTCCCTTCTTACCTTTACTGGGGGGAGGGGGGACATTTCCCTGGTGGTCCGGTGGGGGAATCCCTGGTGGTCCAGTGGGGAGAGTGAACTCTAGCCCGCGCTCCTGGGCTAGAGTTCACTCTCGCGAGATTTGGAGCGTTGCCGTGGTAACGCTCCAAATCTCGCGAGAGGAGGACCCGGAGGAGCCGCAGCCTGAGCTCCGGGTCCTCTCTCTCACTCCCTCTCCCTCCCCCGCCGGCCGCCAGCACAGTGCCTGCGGACCGGGGAGGGAGATCTGTGATCTCCCCTCCGGTCCGCAGGCACATTGCAGGGCTGGCACCTGCATGTGCTGACAGGAGAGGGAGACTGTCGGATTTCTCGGGGGGGGGCAATTGCCCCGTTGCCCCCCCCCTGGATCCGCCACTGGGCTGCGGTCGTCCCTGCTGCTTGTGCACCTTTTTCTTCCACACTTTTCCCTTCCACATAACTTTCTATTAATGTGCTTTGATACAGCACTTTGGGAACATCCAACTTCCTTCGCAATTACCTTTTGAGGCTTTCCCTCTTATGGAGGATGTCAATGATGGTTTTCTGCACAACTGTCAGGTCAGCAGTCTTCCCCATGATTGTGATTCCTACTGAACCAGACCGAGAGACCATTTAAAGGCTCAGAAACCCTTTGCAGGTGTTATGGCTTACTTAGCTGATTAGAGTGGGACACTGTGAGCCTAGAATATTGCACCTTTTCACAATATTCTAATTTACTGAGATTGTGGATTTGGGGTTTTCATGAGCTGTAATGTAATGTAATGCGTCTATCTCATATATTAGTTTCCCCTTATACGTTGCATTACTGAAATAAATGAACTTTTGCAAGATATTCTAATTTTTTCGAGTATCACCACACACTATTTTTTCGAGTATACACCACACACAGATACACCGACACATATGCACATACAATGATACATACACAAATACATGTCTTAATTCTTATATTTTCAGCCTCCCTCCTGTTAATATATATTTATTGTGCAGGAAGATGGCTTACCTGGGGTCCCGATGCTGACTGAGCCTAATGAGAATCCATTAGTCCAGTCAGATTAAGCCCCAGTGATTGGGTGAAATGCGTCACAGGAGGCATGTATACGGGTACATCACATGATCAAAGCTATCGAGAGAAATATGGACTGTTTGAAATATTGGCATTCTTCTCATTATTTCAATGAATGTTCGGCTACTTTTTAAAGGCAAACTACTTGTGTGGGGTGTAACCTTTGTCCTTGCAGAGAGATATTTACCCATATCCAGGGCTTAGGCTTTGGTACACATGAGTACTCAATTTCAGGGATATTTTATGTTTTTGTAAATATGCTGTGCACTATGTGTGTGTGTTATATCTGTTTTTTTTAGGAAATTAAGATTCTGGAACACTATATGAGTAAGAGGTTTTTTTTATTAATTGCATTATTTTGCACAAGAAAGAGGTGTTACACTGGTTGTTTAATGTACTTTAATCATTTGTAAGCGCAATACGATACTGGTTAAAGTAAACTGCCATTTTTAACCTTTGCCTTGGAGGCCTAGGCATCTAAACCGTGACTAGAACATCGTTGTGTTCAAAATAAAGTTACTCTGTAAAATACTTACATTGGCTGAATTTCCCTGAACCTCCAACACAGTCAAAATATATCACAAGAAAAATGCCTTGTTAGCCTCGTTTTAAGGGGGCCCAAAATCTGGCTGGCTGGCTGGCCACCCTTGGGCCCCCCCGGGGCAGGCGGCCAGTTGAGGCCCAGATGGGCGGCGAGGGAGTGCTGATTTGTGAGCTCTCCCTGCTCAGCTCCCTCATGCGCTGCAGAGTGATGCGGCGCGAGAGGGAGCAGAGCAGGGAGAGCTCACAAATCAGCGCTTAAAAATACCTTCCTCATCCTTCCACATGCTAAAAAGTGCATGGCAATGCTAGGATTCAAATTGTACCTTTACCACCAATGCTAGTGGCTTAAATAATGTCAGTTTAAACTGGCATAAGCACTACTAGAGGCTAATACATTTCACTAAATTACCAAATGAACTGTATGTCTCTGTTGTATCCGTCAATTTACCTTTAATACTCTTTTTCTTCTGTTAATTTACATATATATTTTCTATATCAATGTAATGCTGTTTTTTCCCCCCAATCAACACAAAAAAAACAATAGTCATATAAAATGAGACAACACTTCCTAAAGTACTAAACATAAAATGTATATGACGAAAAAGAAAATCAAAATAAAATACTTGTTACAAAACATTAAAATAATAATAATAATAATTGTGTTGGGGGAAAGTGTGTGTGTGCGAGTGTTTTAGTCTGTCATTGTGTGTGTGTGAGTGAGTGTGTGTCTGTCAGTGCGTGTATGCATCTGTCAGTGCGTGTCTGAATGATTGTGTGTGTCCGTGAGTGTGTGTGTCAGTCAGTCAAAATGTGTTAGCTAACAGGAAGAGGTGTGGCCAGAAGGAGCAAGTAAATTTAATTTATTGGGTCCCTGTCATGCCTAGGGCAGCACCTATCCAAAATACACCACTTGCTACGCTACAGCCATCATGTTTTGTCAATGCTCCAGCCCTAGTGACATCTTTGAGGGTGGCATGGGGGGGGGAAGCATTGTCTACTGAGACAAGATCGTCCTTAGACATCAGTGTTGTACTTGCACGCATTCACGAGAGTACAGCACTGATGTGGGATGCTGGCAGATGAGGGGAGAGAAGCACGAAGAGCTCCAGACTCCTCACTCCCACCAGCAACAGTACTCCAAGCCACCCTCCTGGCACATAAAGTAAACTGACAGGCGGGTGGCTGGAGATATATATATTAAAAAAAAAATCACTTTTATGTGTGTGTGTGAGTTTGAGTGTGCCAGGATGTTTGTGAGTGTGTGTATATATATATATATATATATATATATATATATATATGTGTGTGTGTGTGTGTGTCAGTGTGCTTCTGTGTATGTGCGTCTGTGTGTCAGGTTGTGTGTTTTTATGTCATTGTGTGTATCTGTGTCATGGTGTGGGCATGTATCAATGTTTGTGTGTGTCAGGGTGCATGTGTGTGTATCTATGTGTGTCTGTGTATTTATATGCATCTGTGTGTTAATGTGCATGAATATCTGTGTAAGTATGTATGTATGCATGTATGTATGTGGTAGTGTATGTGCATACATCCATGCAGTCAAACACCAGCACATCATACAAGCAAACTCCTGCAATCTAACTCTAATATTACATGCACACCCGTGCATTCAAACTAAAACAAAATATACAAACACACCCCTTAACTCAAACACAAATACTTCACACGAATGTACATCTGCATTTAAAAGTGAACATTACATTCAGACACACCCCTACAATCAAACGCAACATTACATACAAACACACCCCTATATTAAAAAACAATAACTATATACAAGCACCCCTTTAAACACCAACACTTTACATTAAACTATAGTGCCAGTAAATGCCACAGCACTGTATAGATATGCAACCTAGAAATTTAGACTTGGGGTGCATTGGAAAAATACTGAAATATTAAGGGCACCTTGAACCTAAAAAGTTTGGGAACCACTGGTCTAATCCTATATGCTCCATTGCACCTCACTGGGCTTCAAAGTATAATTTAAGCCACAAGTGCTAATGATTGGCTTTTTC